ACAACCTACTAAAAGAATTGGGCTTGTCCAAAACTTACATTAATACATTCTTGGAACGTACCTCGAAGGCAGCCCTAGTAGGTTCTTTTCAAATTTGGTTAGGTAGGGAGAGGAGCTTGGACAGTGGAGGTGAGCGTATAACGCGCGTTAGATAGGGGCCCCTTAAACCTACACCTGGGTCGCAAGTCCCAAGCACTGCTGAAGCTCCTCTCCCTGCAACGCGATGGACCCGGCACCCGCACGGTGAATCCATTGAATGTCCGTCTCTGTTAAAACTATAATTGTACGTAGAAATTATAAACGTCAAAAGTATTTATATTTTATATGATATTCATGTCTAAGCTAAGGTATTTGAAAACTTCTGTATGTACTCTTAGGCACCAAAGGTGATATTTTAATGAACTTGACAGCACAAGTTCTACAAAATCATGTATTTTGCACAAGTTCGCTTCTTTACACTTCATACGAATCTTTTCCTATATCTTTTTGTACTAATAAAAAACGGTGTACACCCTAGGTACATCGTTTCCTAGATTAATAGTAGGTATATGAAACATGTACTAACAAGAAGTACTTTAATAAACCTAACGGTAGAACGTCTGTAATATCTGTCTGCTTAGCACGAGTTTGCATCATCATTTCCCGTTTCTTAATTAGTAACCTACATTAATAATATACCTAATGAAGAACTATGTATAATTAAAAAACCTTTAACGTCACGTTTGTCAAAACTTTGAGTAAACTTAGAGTAAGCTGAGTCTCCTTTAGTGGTCTATCCTAATACACAATAAATTCAATACTACCTCACATCTAAGAAATTAAATTTTTCATTCATACTTCACATATATTCAACACAAAATTTATAAATAAACTTCTCCTAACTATATTGATTTAATTTCCTCAATTGAATTAAAGATCAATTAATCTTTTATATATTTACTTACGATAACAATACGGCCTACAATACTTTAGTATGACTCTACTTTAGTATTAAGTGATTCTGAGACTTAGTAACTTGTAAATAATGTCAATAATACATGTGTTTGAATCTTGCGTGATCAAGAATATGCTAAAAATAGAATTAAAATGCTTGCAGCTGCTTAGATTAATTTATTTCACCTGCCTCTTAAACGAGTTCCGCACAAGATAACACTATTTACAAAGGATTTTAAACGAAAACAAAAACTTACAAATATAACTTATAGAATCATAGTATTTAATGTATCCAATGACATGTTTTTATAAAAAAAAATACCTAAATTTTATGACAATTATGTAGTAAATTTACAAAATAATATTTTATATTTATATATATCTAAACTTTGATTATAATATTATACGGATAATTATTGATTACTTGGAGTTAACCTAGAAGACTCAAATTGCTAAACTGCTGCTATATTGATTAAAAATCCAATATGATAAAAAAATCAAACTTATATATGTTTCATCCATTTTATATTCATCTATGGGCTGGTTTAAAACTGCATAGGTCTCTACACGAAAGCAAAAAAAAAAAACAAAGAAAAATAAATATATTAGGTAGTTATATCAACCGAGTGGAAGTTAAACGTTAAGTTAATATAACATCGGTGTTAAATAACATCGGAGGGCGATTAAAAGGCTTTGCAGAGGATTAAAATATTGAGTGTCGATGGTACCATCCGTTGGGCGAACGGAAACGTTACTCGTGACTCACAAGCTGTGTGTAGAGTGGCCATATAAAGACCTGTATGCAAAACACAAGTTACAACGATACATGTTTAAGATAGGCATCGATTTGAAAACAGACTCTTTACTTATGTTGTGTATTTATCATTATTACAAGCTTAATGCTTTTATATTTTACGAAGATAATTTCTCAAACAAAAAATATTATTATATATATATTTTGTTTAAATATATAGTAGTTATATTTTGTTTAAGTATACATATAGTCGTTTAAAATAGATCTGGTTTTCTTAAGTTCGGTCTATAATTTACTGAGGTGTACAAGTCAGAATTATTTTTTAAAGACTTTACTTATTTTATATGAAAAGTATGAGACCTCTTTCAGAAAATACGCTATCGAATTGCAAAGACCGCATTCAATTCGGAACAGTAGTTTTTGAGGAAACCGCATACATACTTAAGAGTCTTCCTTTTTTAAAGTATATCAAAAATACCACTTAAATTAAAAGTTATTTCTTGTAAACCTTCAAAATTCATTTATAATAAAATTCTATATATAAAGAAAGAATAAATAAATGAGTATTTCTCAGGTTTTCTGAATTTATCGGCAGACTTGTTTAAACAAAAATGTAAATAAATAATTCATTTATTATTAGTCAACACTATAGTGTAGCGTAAGATAAATAAAGTACAAAAAATACGTTCTGATTTAATATGTTTAGGATTTTAATGACTGTATAACTTGAATTAATAAATAAACAAAGAGTGATGTGTCTATATACATATTATATACATAATTCTAATTTTATTCAAACACTAAAACCAATTATTTCTCTTCACTCATCCACTCTTAACATATGTTTCATATTTTAAATTTGCTTCAATATATCTTATCCCTACTAATATTATAAATGCGAAAGTATCTCTGTCTGTCTGTCTGTCTGTTACGCTTTCACGCCTAAACCTCTGAACTGATTTTAATGAAATTTGGTATAGACATAGAGTTGAATTTGAGAAAGAACATAAGTAAGTTTCTATCCCAAACTTTTGAAAGGTTCTCTTGGAAACGCGATATAACCGAACTCCACGCGGGCGAAGCCGCCGGCGACAGCTAGTGGATATATATATATTCTTATAAATATAATATGTACGTATGTATGTGTATTTCAAAATTAACCATACATTTTTATATCATATAACCCACGCGCTGTTGGTTCAGCATAATCATAGCAAACTTAATATCAAAAGCTATCAATAAAACTGATAAGTGATAACAGAAAGCTATATACAAATATTTATAAAAAACTTATAAAGTGCGAGCGCCAATATAAGCCGGATATACCAATAATTTATTGGAATAACAAATATTCCTTATTTGGTGCTAACTATTAAGTACATATACATAACCTTGTATTTGTTCACGTTATCTGATAACGTAATCTGTGAGCGGAGATAAAGATAACAGCTTTGATGAAAAGAAAACCATAGTAATCTGAAATAATCTATAGAAATTCAAAAAAAAATGAAATAGGAAAAATACCTTCATTTATTACAATATTTACGTATTTATATCAACTTAATTAGGTAGAATGTGTATATTATCCAGCTATATATTTGAAATGAGTTAGTTATCAGAAATATTTTATATTACCGATAAATAAGTTACGAATATAGTGTCAATCTCTAATAAATGTAGATCATAGACACCCTAACCGGGCGCCATTCTGTTCCATTGTCTACCGCTCTTCATAAACTGTGACCAGCCATATACGTTATCATAATAAACATGTCATTCATTGTACCACACAATGGTCAGCTAGATATTCATATAAGAATATGATTTTTACACGAATAATACAGAAAATATTATATATTATTTATAAAGTTGTATCCTAGACATAGTATCAAAATTTGAATCTGTTTAGAACTCAGTTGATTTGAAGGAACAATTTTGTTTTCAAAAAGGCGATAATCCTAATTATACGTATCTCATGTCATTAAAATCCAAAAGGAGTTCAAACATATTTATAATAATAAATATAACTATTAAAAACCATTTAAATATTTAATACGCATTAGTGAAAAATAAACACGCGTATACATACTTACAATATTGAGATTCATCATCAACAAATAAATAATTTATATTGATCTGGAGGATTTCGTTTTAATACAATTAGAGCAGTTAGTTGGAATATTCTTATTTTTATTACCAAATCGGAACAAATATCGGTATTAGTAATTAACGTAGCTCTAATGTCTAGAAAAAATGGTATGGAATTTTCATTTCTGTTCATATTCTTTGTTAGTTAGTTCCGAAAAATTTTAATGAGCCACACAATTTTTTTCAATGATAAGAAATATATGTTATAGTAGGTCAGTATATAAAAAAACTCATAATATATTCATAAAGTTTATTAATATCAAATTAAGAGATGTAGCACGTCGTAGTTTTATCGATAAATCGATATTATATTTACAATTATCTTTTACGTGTGAATCGATAAAGCAAGTAGAACAAAAGTTATATTAAAGTTGTATCATATTATGTAAGTCGTTCCAATTTACATTTTATAGACTGGACGGGTCAAGTTTATACATTTAATTAATTATTTCAAGAGAGCTGATCAGGTTACGCGGGAGCTATATACAATTAGCTCCCACATGTACCGAAAAGTATTCTAGATCAATTATCTAGTAATTATGTTAGTCGATTTGATTATGTTAGACATTACAATATTTCTATACAACCACATCAACATATTCAAATCTTAAATTATAATAAATGCGCAATAAGCCTCGCAAAATTATGAAAGCGTTTTAACATCTAAAAATATCTTAATCAAATCATGGTCAGTCTTATAAATCTTACAAATTACAAGAACCAACTTCAAAATTTTACAATATCGGTAGCTGTGTAATATCAAATAGTCCAGGGAATACATATATTTTTTATATTATTCGATACATTTTCGTTCAAACTTATAGAAAGCACAAAACCGTTATGTGCGCCCGCGCAATGCAGTCCGTAAAATGTTGGAGGACGCCGATCCAATGTTTTCCTACATATAAATTGTAACAGATTCACATTTTGACTGATTCACATGCGAGGCTGAATTTTATTTATCCGTCGAAAGTTATAACAATTTAGGCACTTTTAATTTTGGTCACAAATATTTAACGCAACCCGAAATATAATAAATTAGAAATACACTCGATATCACAAAATGCATTCACAAAGTACGTTATACATAAGTATGAACCGGCACGCCCTGACGGCGCCGTGGCACAGCTGTCCATCGTAATCACTCGGGGATCGTACGAATGAGTCAATCTTTATCACGGAGCAGCTCAGACTTTGCACTTTTTTCGTTTCCATGAAAAGAAAAGTTCTGATTATCTTTTTGTTTATACGCTTTGTTGAGTTTCGCCGCAGGAAGATCGTTATCGACGGGCGCGGGGGGCACCGCCACCGACACGGGCTTGGCATCTATGTTTTCACAACGGCAGAATTCTTGTAACCAATGTTCAGAGTTATAGGAAGGCCCTTCCCCGCCTAATTCCGCTGGTAGAATATCCAACGGTAATGAGTCATGTAATGTAGATAGATTGTTCCCATGTAGAACTATTCTTTCACGGGTTTTCGCTTTTAGGTAGGGCTTGATAACTGCTAATGCAGTTTCTACATACCAAGGTTGTCCAATGAAATGTATGCTTTTAAACCGTGCCGGCATGCAGTCTTGCAAACAATCGATCATCATTTTAAGGATTTTCGCTTGTAAACTACACGATTGTTTAAACGTAAACTCTGTCCAGTCAACAACGATAACGTATCCGTTAGCTTGATTTTGCACTTCATTAAGAGTCCTTTCTAGTGTGAGAAGCAGGGCACGGAACACAGATATTAGAGGGCATGCATGCGGAGTCCAATTGGATGCGAACATAATGAGCACGCATCGACCGCGCCGGTCACGTTGCGCCAGCACGCCCGGGAGCCCGTCGGCGAGGGCCCTCAACACACCGCCGTCCGCATTCGCCCATAGTTCCGGATGTTCCCGACGATGTTGATGGTAACGCACCAACAGCTCAAAACTCTGCTGAACATCGTGTTTACGGGCGTATAGAAACCGTCGCAGAAAGTTATCGTCTTGACAGCGGCTTTTGTCGCGAAGGGCCAAGTTGAGGCTCGAGTCTACCGCGTCCTTGAGGCCATCCAGAGCCCGTTGCCTGTCTCCGTCCGTGAGTCTCTTCCTCGACACGTCACAGAGCCTCTCATTCTGTATCTGCTGCAGCTTCCAGTCGTACTCCGCGTACTCGTTCATCTCTATCGTTGCTATGAGTCATGCGTCCTTTCACCGTTCGTCTGTGTTGCGCGCGCGCCGCCCGGAGCTCGAGGCCGACTGCGCTCTGTGCTCGCTCCGCGCGCCGCCATCTTGGGCCGTTCATTAAACCGCAAAATGCTTCCTTTACATTCACTTGACGGTCGAGTCACACACACCTATGACTAAGTTAATCCTTCACACTCACTTTAGACTTTTAATACACGTTGTTGGTAATATTAACCAAACTACTATGAATATTAATATGTTTAATTTCAGATATTAAAAAATAAATATAAATATTTGATTCGACTAAAATAAAATAATATAAAACATTTTTAACCTAGAAAATTAATACATACTTGTTACTCTTTTAATATTGTCTAATTTTGTTTACAGTTTACTCTTGGTTTCATATATAATAGGCATCTGTATTAACACTGATCTTCCATCAATAATCTTTTTCAAGTGTCATGCTAGTAACTTGAACCGTTCAAACGAAGCATAACTTACCGAGCGAAGCGAGTTATAAATAAAAGAAAAACTGAAGGTTGACTGTATACCGGTCAATTGGCTGGCTGGTTTCTGCGATGACGTCGGCCGAGAGAGTGAGACGAACATACACGTTGTACCATAATTTCGATGAAGCCTTTTAAGCGAAGTATAAACGGATGGCCGAAAATCGTATAACGTCCGCGCTTTGTCCACATTATCGTATGCCTCGTAACCGTAATGGGTAACATATTCATGCAGCATTCATAATAGTTTCCATACCCGTGGAAGACAAACGAGTAACATCATTATCATATATAAAATATAATTTGGCATGACTCATCCGTGCGTTATATAATAGTTTTGTTTTAGATTTCGAACACAAAGACTGGTTTCAGTTGACCGGTTGATATACTATAGAATCTATCATCTAGGAATACGATGTTAAACACGCCAACCCACACAATAGATGAATTGAATCCACAAAATCTACACTCAGAACTGAATACAGGGGTACATAATTCCTTTGGGTTCACTTTCTCTTTGTAATGTAGGTCTTATCATATTTGGTTGAGTTAGTAAGGACGTGAGGGTTCCGGTACACGAAAGTGGATCATTAAATACTCACTGACTGACATTACCTTGACGTTTGATTTCGGTTGTTGTCGGGGCAATGACTTTTAAAAAATCATCCGTGGCTATACATCGCATGGTCGTTGCCCCCTCACTAGCAGGCTAAGTAAAAATAGATTCTTGAATCCCAGATTGTCCCTACGTGTAGCTAGCAAATGGCGATGCATCATGAACACACGGACACAGCATATAGGATCACGGCTAGACTACGCAAAAACATGATAAATCATCGCTTTGACATTCGTGTCATGTAATGCTTAAGATTGATCACATGTGTGGAGGTTTGCTTTTTATTGTTCATACCCTTTAATATAATTAGGTTCATTTTAATCAAATATAATCAATATGTTACCTTTATTTATAATCATCTATCTACTAAACTTGATAAAATTTTATTGAATGGTTTTGAAGAAGTTAAAGCGTACTCAACATAGTTTCTTTTAATACAAGATAACGAACTTTCTATGTATGTATGTATGTATACATATGTATATATATATATATATATATATATGTGTGTGTGTATGTATATCACATCAAAGGAAATACGTTATACCTACTTAAAACGTAAACAAAGCTGTCACATGCTTTGTCTGTTCTGTAATGTGACATTCATATTAAAGTTTAATAGGTGTTTATCATTTATGTAAAAACATTCATACACTTCGTACATTAACACTCTTATTTGACGAACTACTTAAAAATGTATATTTTTACTATATTTTATCATGTTATGAAATATATTGTTATAGAACAATTATCTTCCGATATTTCATCTAAAGAGAAAAGCATAATTAAAACTGTTTCGTATATTTACGCAGTCTTAACTAATTGTAATTTCTGTTGAGTATGTACTGATAAAAAACAGGTCCTTGCTTAATATAACTATCGATATACATACTTTAAACTTATCAATTAGATACTTCCAGATTATTATAAAAGATATATCATCGTTCATAATTTCTTATAGAAACATAATAATACCAAAAATTTGTACATTTTGTGACGAAACCTCGACGAGTATCTCAGTTCATACAAAAATATTAAAAGTCGGTCAAGTATATTTATCTCCTTCAATCCCATAAACTATTTTATCTCGTTTTTGATTGATAGCTACTTATTATCTGATTGGTATAAGAAAATAATTTACATACCAAATCTAACTTATTATGATTTGTATTTAAAGTGAGACGATTTTGTAAAATTTATTGGTTGATACCGAAAAGAGTTAATTTTAATTTTTTTCAATGTGATAAAAATTCCATATTATTATTACAATATTATTTTTATGGTTAGCTTAATATCATCTATAGAATCCATAATAATCTGATCATAAGCTTTCACTCTATCAGAGCCCACTGCTGAGCAAAGGCCTCTTTCTCTCATGGAGAAGGTTTGAGCATTAATCACCACGCTCGCTCAAGACGGGTTGGTGATTTCAAACTAATAATTGTGAAATTATAAGTCCAGGTTACCTCACGATGTTTTCCTTCACAATCTGTCAATGGTTTCTAAATACTCTTAGAAAGTACATATGATTCGGAAAAATGACCTTGTTACTTGCCAGGATCGAACCCGTGCCCTCGGCAAACAGAGGCGGGCTCTTTAACCACTAGGCCACCACTAGTTTTCACTCGATTTCTTTATTTGTCAATGTTCCTTAACTTCAAACTTATTTCTGTTTACTTTTTTCTAATCACATATAATTATTCACATAATAATGGCACTCAATAAATCCGTACGGTTTTTAATTTAAAAAACAAAACGATTAATATTTCTTCCTCATTCAATAGCAAAATTGCTAGTCTACTTCCAAAATCTTCATATCAACAATTATAATTATACATGAACATGCAGTTTAAAAATAGTCTTTCGTGTCTGCACCAACTTCCGTAAAGAACATTTTAATTTTAATATTATATGTATTTTAATCACAATAACGATGTACAATCTATAATGTACTTTTTTTGTATATGACTGATTTTCAAACAATTTTTGTAATTTTTTATTATACGTAATACATTTCATTCGTATATTTAACTAAAACGGGTCAACTGTTTTCAGACGTAAGATAAAATTGTTATTAGATTGTCAAATATTTACACACTGTGACTTGTAATCTTGTTAAGGTTTTTAAAGTATTTTCCTTCTATATAAGATATATGTAAATATAAATTTATATTCTATGTTTATGATATACTATGTTTTCAAAATATTTTCTTTCAAATTAACAAGTCATTGTCGACATATACATGTTAGTTAAATCAATTTAAATGTTTTCTCCGAGAAATAAAAAAACTTTAAGTATAATATTGATTAAGTAGATACGATAAATTAATTAATTTGTATCGTTTTTCAGGAAAATTCATATAAAACGATGTATTACTAATAAAATACTCATCAAGGCATCATCATCATCAAGTTTCGACTGGTAATTTATTTCCTAACTTATTTAATAATTACTTATAATCCTATACATAGTAAAAAATGTAAAAGCAGTATAATAAAACAGTACGAACTGTTTTTAACAACCTTCACTACGTAAAAAAAACTTTTATTTATATGATTAGTTTGTCTTTTTGTTAGCTCTAATTTGCGAAACTCCGGAACTAATATACTTATTCTCAAGGTTTTTATAATAGCATTGAACTTAATTTTGAGCAGCATTTTATCTTTGTTCAACTAAACCTGTAATTCTCTCAAGTAATAATAATTATTAAAGAAAACTGTATCTGTCCGTTGGAAAGGATACCAAAAATATTTATGGAAGCCATAAAAAGTATAGAACCCAGAGCAATTATTTTTGTTTCTCTATTATTACCTCTATTTATATGAGTGTTAACTATTTAATAGCTCTACCCTTTAAATTAGATAATCCTCTGAATAAACTAAACATTAAAAAAAAGGTTTGCTTTTGTTACGGGCAATATTTAATTTCATTATTTGTTGATCCTTTATAAAAATGATACTTTTTTTGTTCAAATGTAGAGACACAGTTAATTATGTATCAATAAAGTAAAGTAAAGGAAAAATAAACACATATTTTTCTGTCAATTACGATGTTTCTTGGAACACTGACTCGTGACAAACTTACGAAATATAACGAACATAACAATGAGTCAGCGATTTTGTGAAACGATTCCTTGATCGATATAAGAGTAATATTGAATACAACAAAGATTTCCAAAATGAAAGTTATTGGAAATATAAAAATATTAACGGACAAAAGTAATGACTCGACTTTCAAAGATGGCGAAGGACTATACAAATACGATCGGCTTAATTGGTCTTATTTAAAATACTTCTTGGTTTTGTGTAGTGTCTTGTTTAATCTATATCTAATTTCAAAAACTATAAATTTCTAACAATTATAATAGTTCTTTATTCAATAACTATTGACTAAGGACGATTTAGAAGTTGTTCTGCCTGGTTCTATATAATATTATAGAAAATTCCATTGTAGTTTATGTTAAAAAGCGGTTATAATTCACAAAACCAAAACTAGGGTGATTGTCGATAGTTCTCAGAGATAAATAATGATAACTTATCAATATTAGATAGTAGCCATGAGTGCAAAATCTATAGTACAACCATGCACATGAGATATATTGAAAAGAAAACTATCGCGTGTTATGAAGGAACTAATTTAATTACAATTTATGATATCATAAATGAATTATTAAAGAAGACTATAAACGAGAATGTTTATGCTTTCAGTCACGCTGAAGTTGCAACACAGATAATTTACATGTAAAATATACATACTTATACAACAACAATACGTATTTTTTTGTAAATCTTAATAAACAAAGAAAAGCAACAATGAAAATATTATCGGACTGCTAATTCTATGTAACCTTTTTTGAGATTCTTAATTT